GTTGATTTGGTGGGAAAAAACCCAAACTCGGTCTAGTTATGCAGTATAGACAGATAGTATTTAAGCACATATTTCTTGATGATATATGCCAACAGATTTTCTACTTTTTGCATGCTCATCGGTTCTCTCTCTCGTTACAATGTCTCGCACACAATCACTACATAAAATTTCTCAGGCAGGCACATCGAATTGTTGTGTTTAACGCGACCATATTCTTTCAGTAGAGGGTTAGCGATGCCAACGTCGCGCTACTTGTTGAAATGTACGTTGAATATATGATATATTTAGTGGGTGTTTTTCGTTTAACTGAGTTTATAATAGTTTTGTGACATAAATCTCTGCTACTTTTGCACTTAATTGTTTGCACAAAGTAATAATACACTGTGAAAGAGTCATGATAACAACTACAGATTACGTTGCGTTTCGTTAAATTTTAGTAGTCACCTGCTAAAATTTAGATATAACCTTGAAGTTTTTCTTATACCTTCTTATTGGGCAAATTTGAACTGAGATTTGACAGAAAAGTTGGTTCTAGAAGGTTTTTTAACATTTACTTATTGTTAAAAATGTAGTTTATTATCTGATGAGTAATCAAGTCGAAATAATCGAATCATATCTAGAGCAAACAATTGTGGACAGCACTGCGTCTAAAATATCAGCACGATGGTTCTTCAGGTCACAACTATATAAACACTGTGCATTCTACCATTATTTACTCCGTCATTATCTCCTATTATGAAAGTGTTCGAAATCTATGGTTATGTGCTACGTGATGACATATAACCAATAGTTCTGATAAAGTTCATTTAATGTCATTAAATAATTCATGGAAGAACGACTCTGTGAACATTCTCATCTACGTCAAATTTCGTTTTAGTTGCACGTTATCTAGAATTCTTTTTTTTTTAATTATAGTTAAGATTCTAGCAATGCTTGTAAGCTGCTTCACATTTCAATCAATTGCTTTCGTTGCCTACTATACAATGCTATGATGCGGACTGCTTAAAAATATCTGATTGCTAAGCTTAATCGTTTTTAACATTGGATGGATTTTCGAATGAACGCTAATAATATATAGGCTTTCAAATACTATTAATGCGTTATACTTTCGTTAAATAGTAGAGATTACTAAAGATTTGTCTCATCTTTCATGAATTTACTTCTTTTAGTCTTTGCGATCTGTGCCGCGTGGTTGTTCAGGTCTATGCAAACGTCTGCCAGAGCTTTCTGGAGCGCATGCTATATCGTTCCAATTATCGAGTAGTAATACAAAAAAAACATGAAAGACATTAATTAAATATTTCAAAGTTTGTTGGTAAAACGAAATGAGACAGAAATATGTAACGCATCTAGACGTCAGCATCCTAGCGTACTGTACTGTTAGTCTGCAGTATCCAAACGATTGCATATAATATGTTAAGATATCAAATGATACTCTATAATTAAAATTGACTGGATGAGCATGATTCTATTAATATTGTAAGACCAGCCTGTAAATGATGAATTTGCGCCGTATTTTTTATACTTTATAATGTGAAAACGGGTTGTAAGATATTTGCGCGTGGGGCACTATCGCGCACAACACTTGAACGCATAGGATAATTTTCTCTGCTTTTCACCTGGTGGTTGCAGGAGTGGATAGGACAAAGAGGAAACGGCAGACTTCAAGTACAGTAAAGTAGAGTAAAATAACGTCTAAAATAATCTAAAGTAGGATAAAGTACCTTAAAGTAGCTCGAAGTTCTGTGAAGTCGCGCAAATTAACTTCAAGTACAGAGTACGCCGTTTCCCTTTGGGATAGGGAGTGAATCGTGTAGGCACCCGCGCTCATGTTGCCAGCGAGTAGGAATCTAAACTGTATCCGTAGAGACAAGGCTCATACGCACTCACAATGCCCACAACATCCATACACGAACACCGTACACCCGACACCTACACACCAACACCCAATGGGTAAGTGCAGGTTTGGAACTTCACAGCATCTGCTCGTTATTGTCAGTAGTTTTCCAGCGCTTATCATCATCTTCAACGCTTTCGCAGCACCTTGCTGTAAAATTTGACGCGTAGCTTTTGCACTTACTTTGGTCGCGCCAAAATATTATGTTTTATAGGAAGCTGCTGAAAAACCGTAGCAAAAATTCTTTGATGTTGCCGTTTCAGATTCTTCAGAGATTCGATAGGGATCCTTCCAGAATTTGCTAGTTTTTTCTCAGGAAACGGCAAAATTCTGAAGAGAATGTGATCTACGAAATCATAAGTAGGATGAGAAGTGAATTCCAGTAGAATCCTGCAAAGATAATTTAGAAAAAACTCTGCGTAGAAGCTTAAAGAAAACCTAAACAGATCCTGTGTAATTGTGAGAAATCATTGCAACAGGAATTATCAGAAACTGAGACAGAATTCTGAGTTAAACTTGACGAGATCCTTGAAATTCTGGATCCTGGCAGATTTCTTCAGGAGTTTTCGAGCAATGAAAAGGTTGGAGATTTGAAAAGCGCTGAAGATGCTGGAGTGTCAGAATTTCCAAAACTACACTTTTCCTCTTGCCAACACGCCACACCCCAAGAACAGAAAAAAGTATCCTATACATCCAAGTGTCATGCGCGAAAGTGTTGGTGCGCAAATGTCGCGCACTCAACTGTCGTGTCACGGTGAAAACGCTGCAACCATAGTCCGTTTACGAATATTTAAAAGATTCATTTGAATATCTGTAATGTGCATTAAATGGATTGGAAACTGATTGTTCATGCTATTATTAAAATATCAACTGTATTTCTGCGCTCGATAAAACGCTGTCAATACACAAAGTTCATGGTCTGTATTTACACTCTTTACAACCGTGTACAGTTGGACGTGTTTTCACATTTACTGACTGAAAATGTACTGTAAACTTAATCCGTTTTACACAACATGAAGGTGAGTAAAGATTCAGATTACCAGATTCTCATAGAATCGAGACAATCTCGATACAAGTACATAGAATGTCCATTTGAATAATCCTCTTCGAAGTGAATTTGGGTATATGTGTCGGTACCGATGAAGATGTCAGCGATGATGTTGGTGCGCGTGGAATGAAATGCTCTTCATCACTATCCAAATAATCACACTAATTCTCACATACCCACAACTACATTCATGCTTATCCACCATCACACCAATAATGCACATGAACACACATCAAAGCCTCCACATATCGCATGTCCATCCACACCCGCACCCTAGTTGAAATCTCAAAGAAAATATTTTTTTGCACTTTTACTGAATTTTGCCTATATTTGTGTGGGTCTATGATCTCTCTTTGATAGTAAACTACATTCGTTAACTCGAGTTTTCAATAATTTGATTCCATTCATTAGAATCAAACTTATTCGACTCGATTTTGTCGAATAATATTATTTGATTTGTTATTTTAACTGATACAGTTGTTGTTTCCCTAAGTGGTGTATGCGATTATCAGGCTTGAATTAGCAACTAGTCTTTAACAATTAGAGAATTAATAGCGTTCAATCTAACTCTAGCGTCTGTTTTTCATCTTCACTGAGTTCTGTCGAATGTGAAAGCAAGATAATGGACAATGGGTATGGTTCCAATGTGAAAAAGAATATTTTTGGCGACGAGCAACAATAGAATTCATCCTTGCAGAAGAAATCTCGATTTCATCAAACGAGACGATCAAATTGTCAACTATTACTTGAATTGATCGAGTTCATATTGGGAGACAACGAGCCATCATCTTCATATGTATAAAACAATTATGTATCGATCGAAAGTGGTATAATTGGTTGCTCGCTGAGTCTGTAGTAACAAGATCCCTCAAGGTAGTTCTTTCCTTCGAATTCAAATCATCTATGAGGAAAGAGTTTCGAAACGAACATTTTCATATGTAGGATGAACCTTGAATGTCCATGACTACTTGTTCATTCTTTGCTTTTTCATCGGACAATCTGTAAACAAGTTTTCTGAGAACATCTATTTTCTACATTGAACTATACTGTTGATCGGTGATATTACTAAAATAAAGAGAATATAAGATTTTGAGAGACATGATTCATATCTCACTCTCAATCAGTCACTCATCCTACAGCTAAATGATATTCGAGATTCTTGAGGCTTAGATGAAGTTAAATTATCCTGAATCGTCATATAAGATGGAACAATATTCTTCTGGATCGAATGAAAGATCATTGCAACCCACCTATTGACTATCGTGGACGAACATGAATATAGTTGTGAAAAAGTAGTGCGTTTATTCGAGAATTAAGCAAAAAGAAACAACCACTTACTGTCATTAGAATCGATGCAACATGATCACGTTTTCAAATGTGAAATTATGATGTTATAAAATATTCTTTTTTTAAGTCATAACTTGAGAACATTCATATACAGTAGAAAATTGGCATGATATAGAAGTTAATGGGCTCATTTTTGCAAGACCTTGTACAAATCTTGTAAAACATTCTTATATTTTTTCTCAACAGCATGTCGTCGTGCTTTAAACGTTGGGGTTAAAAGGCCATTTTCAATAGTGAATGGTTCCGTAATAAAAGCCATATTTTTTATTTGTTCATAGGACATCAAGCCTCGCTTTTTGCCTAGTTCGATCATATCATTGAATACTGTTTGCCACAATTTTGAGTTATTTGCATGAATTGCATTTGATCCTTCGTTGATACTATTTTCAGTCATCCATGCTTTTACCATATCATCATCGAGGACAACAATAGCAACAAGCGCATTCTGTAACGAATCACCATAGACATACACTTGTGAGATGAATCGACTGCGTGAGTAGATATTTTCGATCTTCTCCGGAGCTATGTATTCACCTTGGCTCAACTAAATGAAACAGAAAGATGAGTATAGTTTGAAACTAGAATATCAGTCTATATAATCAAACTTTATAAATATTCTTCTTCCGATCGATGATTTGTAACGTACGATGCTCTGTCCATCTACCGATATCACCTGTGTGCAGCCAACCATCTTTGCTGATGGCTTCATGCGTTTTTACTTCATCATGTAGATAGCCTTTAAAAACAGCCTTACTTTGAATGCAGATTTCACCAACATTATCTCGAGCAAAATAGTTCTTTTCAGGTACGTCAACCAGCTTGATATGATTGACTGGTGTCGGAACACCTGTTTCGCCCAATCGATGATCGTTTACCGTTTGGGAGGTGCCAACGATACATTCTGTTTGACCATAGCCTTCGATGAAGAAACATGAAAATATTGCTCGCGAAAATTTGGCCACTTCCGGTGACAGTGATGCACTGCCCGAAATGACACGTTTCACTTGACCGCCAAATCTTGATCGCGCTTTATTAAAAATGAGTCTGTCCCAAACGGTATCCTGTGAGAAATCTCCGCGTTCTAGTTGAGCTAATTTAGCACGAATGGCCAGTTTTAATAGACCACGTGCAATTAAACTTTTTTTCTGTGCTTCGGCCATCACTTTATCGTGTAGTTTGTTCAATAGACGAGGCACTATGGTTAGAATGTTTGGTTTGAAATCACGAAAATCATCCATAAGTTTATCAATGGCGCCTTGCCAGAACCCGATTTCACCGCCTTCCAGTTGATTGACATAAAATATTCGATAAATCAAAATTTCAGCAGGATTTGATACTTACCAAGAAAGGTAAAGATGACAGCTGTTCCACATCCGAACATATGCGCCATTGGCATAAAACTGAGTACTCGTGGTATTTCTTGGTGTGCAAATGATATTAAATCGACAGTCATAGTAAGTCCAATTACAGTACAGATGAGATTATCATGAGTGATGATACACCCTAGGAGAAGAAATGACTAGTGTTTATTCATGAAGTTTTTTGTGCTATTTTCAAAAAATAATGGAAAAGCTCTATAGGATGCCAAATAAACAGCATCAGAACCGCAAGAAAAAAGTTCAATTAGCTTGTATTATAAAGAATGAAATAATAATATTACCTTTCGGATCACCAGTAGTTCCACTGGTATACAAGATTAGAGCTGTGTCAGTCGGCTGAGGTGGCTGTGGTTCTGTTGGATTATTCCTGCCCATTTTGATCAGCTCATCGTAGGTGATGAGCTGAATACCTTTGGATTTTGCCTGTTCGATTAAACTGAATGACGGCTCCAAAAGACTCACAATTGTTTCTAGTGTTGACGTTGACTCTCGATATTCAATTAAATTTTTCACGCGCTGCATATTGTCAGCAAAAATGATCTTCAAATTGGCATGTTTCGTGATGTATCGAACGGCGTCAATGCCAAGCGAGTCATAGATACCGACAGGTACGAAAGAAAATGGCCATGATGCATAGAGAAGCAAAGCATAATGAACGTTAGCCGATGCATAGATGCCGACAAGTGTCTCATTCGATTTTTTCAGACCCATATGAACCATACCACTGCCGATTTCATGTATCATCTTGTAGACTTCGCTAAATTTAAAAAAATTGATGCACAGTTGGGAATTTACCAAAAATTTTTGAGTCCTTTTTTTGGGAAATCAAAGTCGAATCAAGTGATTAGGAACTTTAAACATTTTGAAAAATCTGTGATTGACGAGTGTACTTCATCGGACGCTGATTCACTGAATTTGATGTTCATGAAATGAGGACCACTATGGTAATTTAACTCAGAGGATTGCTTCTAGTGATGATTGGTGGTTGATTGTCAAATTATTTCAAAGACTTTTTAGACGTGCACCTTATTACAGAAAGATGTAACTTCAGAGATGGTAACATAGTTTGGTTATTATGTTGACAGAATGTCAAAGTGAACGATGAAGTTTGATACTTTGACACAAAAATGATGTTATTCGACGAAGTCCTAGAGCAATGAGTCTTGAAAAGAGTAGATTTTCCAGCCCGAAATGTAGTGTTTCGAAATCTGACTTTTACAATGTTTTATGTGGGACAAGTTTATGTGAAGAAGCATCGCTATACAACATTTAGAGTTTGAAAATAGTGACAAAAAACGGTAGCCAATGTCAATATAGTTCCATAAAATTCTCTTAATTCTGATAAAACTTCCATGAATAACCTGTGGCAATGTTGTGTCTTGAATTTCAATGATTCAGTCTCACGGTAAACACGGTTATTATCACGCTTTTCGATAACGTTCGACAGGATTTAATTGTGAATTATTTAATCTAAGAAGCTTCACTGAAGATGTGGATTGATATGCCTAAATTTGATGTCCTAGCCCTAAAGTTTTTTTTGTGGAACTCACTACAAAAGAGTGCGCGTTAGTTTTAATTTAAAGTTTGAGAATTGTTTGTGTGACAAAAATTTCTTTTGTAAAATAATTATACTCCAAAGAAGATTGTCTGCTCTAATAGATTTTATTTCCTGAAGCGATAGAAATAGATATTCGTTATTACCATTTATGCTTCTGATTTCATTCAGTCTTTTCTTTCACATGATCATTTTTTTCTAGCTCACTATTGGATAAATAGAATACCGTTGTTTATCAACTTCTAGCTTTCGGTTACCTATCGGTGAAAAACAGGAAGAATGGTTCACCAGTGAACACTTACAGAACATTCTATAACTTTGAAGACTGACAGACAATTGAATGAAGAGACACGAATATTTAACGGAAAATCTATATTTCTGATAATTAACGATACAAAGTACTGAAATAAAGGATTTTTAGTCAGAACTTAATGCATTCAGAAATCAAAACAATATCTAAATCTCAAAAGCTTGAATTTCAAGAATATAAAAAGTCTGTAAAAATCTAACGTTCTGAAAAAATTTAGAAAATTTAAAATTCTACATTTTTCTTGCCAAATAGACATGGCGCTGCTATTGTCTGTGGAGTAGGCGAGAAAGGGTAGGAAATTCTATCACTTTTCGGGTTATAATTCACAACACTAATTAATAATCGTGTTACACAAATTTTTTAACGGTTTTTAATAGACAAAATGCTTAAAAATAAGCATCAATGTTTCCCTTTGCAAAATTTTGGATTTTCTGTTATCATTCCATGTCAGATATCAAGTACAAGCCGAACGTTAATATTGGTCTTCGGAGGCAATATCATCCCTACTGTTTAGAATAGTATGTTCGAGAGTAAACGATTTGATTTTTCAAATTATAGAACTCTTGTTGAACTACATGTTTTTTTCGTCTCAAAAAGAGCTGAAGATCGAGTATAGGAAACAATTGAGTAGAGTTTGAAAATATTTTCAGCATAATTCACTTATCTTACTTTTCATCCAGATATCTTTAGTTCCACGTTTGCTCACTTTTCGCAAAAATATGAACCCATTCCGGCTACCTTACATAAGTTACCTATTGCAAATATCATCGAAAAATCCATATACCAATATCACATGCTTACTTGTAGGTATAAGACTGGAATGGTTCTTGGGATGAATATCGATACGAGAAGAGAGCCCGGTCCCCATTCAATCTCACACTACGCTTGATAACGTCATAAGCGGTTTCCACGTGGAATACCCGATGGTCTTGAAGTCCAGTAGTATAATCAGGATGCGCATAGATTCTTTCTTTGGTGTCAATTTCAATAGCACCTTGTGTATTTATTGCTTGAGCTCTGATCTTTCGAAAAGCAGTTTTTACGAATCCGCGATTAACCACATAAAAAACTACCTGATTAAACGGGGCTCTGAATGTGCGAGAAAGCAGTGAAAAATGAAACATTATTTTATATAATGCACGTTGACTGTCACTGGTTGTTTCACGTGCAGGCTTCAAATATTGTGTATGAAACAGGATAATGCGAATGAATGCATGAAGCGAAAAGTAAAAAGAACGTGTCGTCAGGTACCGATAACAGAACGAAGTTGCCTATTAAAGATTAGTAGTATATGTTATATGCTATCTCTTCGTGGGTGTTTTCTCTTATCAACTGACTGTATTTCATCGCACACACAGACAACAAGAGTGAGAGCGGGACAAAAAAAAAGGAATAACGATCGAGAAAGAATGAGCATGGTAATGATAGAAATGACAGTACCGAGGCAGAAGAGCAACGCCCGTGACGAAATGCTACGACTCAGGTGTTCATCCTGTAACATAGGTGTAGAAGCAGTAGGTTTTCAGAACTTGCGAAGAATCACATGGTGAGAATATTTATCTAGCATTGTCTCTGTGTCAACTGGTTAATTTCTCAATAAACACAGCAGGCACCACAAGTGAAAACTGCTTTCGATACGTCATCATTTGTGAGTGTTAGTTTGGCCATATGCAGCTCAGAGCAGTCTTTGTTTGGTGTGATAGACCAAAAACAAGATTGGTTGACAAACATATTCAACAACGAAGTCTTTTTTTTTCTTTCACGCGTAGCATCTGTATGGGCATCGATGTTGCCATGCATTTAAAAAGAACGATATAAAAATCAAAAGAAAGAATCATTTTTTAATTTAGTATTGACCAAAGCTATCTTTAACTTGGATCAAAAGGAAGGTTTTAAATGCTACACGTATCGACTGATTTCCAAGGATAGGAAAAGAATGATATGATTGCCGTGAAATAAAACGGACGAATTTCGGTCCAGTATAACTGTTTTTTATGGTTCAGTCACATGTGTTGGAATGTGTGAAAGAAAAGAAAAATAGTGATTTGTTCATGAAGCAAACTCTTGTCTTGCATAATATGGAAGCCTGAAGGAGTGTGATGTGCTGTAGATGGAAATACTTTCTCATACAAAGTGATATTCTTGAAAAATATAGCTCTATTTAATATTATGTTTCATCATCCCGAGATCATTTGCAATTTTTCGCCTTATATTGCGTGCCGCGTGGAAAAGAGAAGAAAAAGATTGGGTGATTACTTATCTTTGAAGATGGGGAGCGAGCCAAGGTCTTTCATTATATGGTCGTCAGTACACTGTAAAAAGAATGCAGAATAATAAACCTTGAAAGAGATTATAGAGGTGCAACGTTAGCAAAACTCATTTTTACTGTTTATGAAATCTTTGCAAACCCTTTCACAAAGCCTTAAACGATTTGCTATACCTTGTACTTCCATAAATCCTTCGCAAATGTACATAAACTTTCTAAACGCTTTCAAAAACCTTAGAACTGATTATCAAAAGAGCATGTCAGAGAGTTCATGAGGATTATGAATCGTACCGAGGGGTTTATGAAAGGTCCGTGTCGCAAAAACCGGATCATTTTTAGCGGTAAACCGCGGTTTACCAGCTAAGAGCCGGTAAGTCGAACAAAACTGGCGGTTTACCGCGGTAAACCGGAAAAAGTAGCGGTAAACGAAAAAAAAACCACGGTAAGCTGGAAAAAAACACCGGTTTTCCGCTGTAAGGGAGCCGGTAACCGAATCGATAAAACGTGGTAAACCGTCGGTTTTCACTATATGGGAGGTCTCTGAAGAGGTGTATGATCGTCGTGAACCGTATCGAAGGTGCCTGAAATGGCACATTGGAACAAATTTAGTTCCGTGAAAAAATGATGTAAATCCTTCTAAGAGTGTACTAAAATTTGTTTTGGAGTGCAAGAGTTGATTATTGTGTGGTTTTTTACAGTGTAGGTAGTACTAACAGATATTATAGAAATATTGCAATACAACAGAATCAGAAAGTTATGATATGACTTTTAGAAGACCTTACAACATTAGTGCATTCCAGTATCTCAGTACAAAACAGTCATTTATAGCACTTGGGTGCCCACTTCGATGAAAATGTGCTTTGAATATTTTTTTAGTACGTGAAAAGGCGAAGAAAATGCTGTAAATTACAGTAAAAACATCAAAGATAAGTGAAAACATATAATGTTGATTTCGACATAATTTTTCTTCATTTGCAATATTATGAGCTTCAACGAAATCTTATTTTCGTTTTCTATAACTGACTAAAATGATTTCGGTGAAAGAAATCATTTATGAGTACTCTGATTTTACTTCATATATTCTGCTTTTGCATGAAATGCGAAATGTATCTAGCGGGTTAATTATGTGTTGATGCATAAGTTGAGATTTTAATATGTAATTCACAGAAAAAAAGACGAATTGTAGAAATTCGATGAAGATTGCAAGTATATTTATTAACTAATCTATATGAGTGGTGAAAAATAACACCACTTTCAAAATGAGCCCAAGCTTGCATAAATGAATTCGTTGAAAAATTCGTTTAAGAAATCGAATCAATTAATTCTGTTGGAGTTGATAACTTGAAAAAATCAGAATGAAATGAAACACATTTTCTGCGCCTTTTAGTTGCCCACTGACGTTGACATGCAAATGTCATAAGTGGCGTAAGATATAATAAGCGTACTAAAACATGATAAATCATTTCTATATTTGTCGTTTTAACACTAAATTTGAAATTTACTGATAATATCGTTTCTTTCTTTTCCTCCAAAGCTTTTAAAGAATTTCGAACATGAACTACTAAGAAGAAGCAGAGTAACCTAGTACGTGAATAATATTTTTGAGTAGAAAAATAGTTTCAGCGCAATATGGTCTATTCACTTGCTCTTTTGTCTTATTTCTCTTTCTTTTACAATCTATATTTTCGACGATGAGTCATCTAGAAAAATATTCTTATTGACTTTCAGTGCATTTAACTCGTCGAGTTGAAGTAGTAGAGAGTTGGAATTTTCTGAAGTGGTAGAGCACACAGAAAGAACGAAAGAAAAAAACAATTCAATATCTGACGATAGACATTGAAGTTAGAACAAAAAGTTTCAAAGGTTCGATTGCATTTTAAAAAAAATTGCAATTAATTTACATGCTTTGTGTTGTTGATGTACTTCTTCACGTTCGTTATCATTAAGAACGCAATAAAAATCGTACGAAACACGCGAGATAAGAATGGAATTGACGTTTGATCTTTTTCTATGCACTATAAAACAAAACTGGAGAATCAAACTACACTCATCATTCACACAATATGCTTCTCATATTCGTTCTCATTATTGTTACTTTATTGTACTATTACTTCAAATTTAAACACTTTACTCTTCACGGCCCATTACCCGGTTTGCCGCCTCATTTTTTGTTCGGTAATTTGATTCAATCTGGAATGCTACTGGGTGGTAAATCTCGTCCTCAAGCCTTATTAGGTTTCAAAGAGCGTTTCGGTCACATTTTTCAATTTTGGTTTGGCCCCTGGCGTTCGATTATTGTCAGCGAAATCACCGATGTGGAGCACATTTTTACTCATCGAAATATCTACGATCATGGTGATTTTTTTATTAATCAATTTAGTCTTCTTTTTCATGATAGTATTGTTTGCAATAAAGGTTTGTTATATTCTTCTGATGAAATATGTATCCTTAAAGTGTTTCTAGGTGCTACCTTCAAACGACACGCTTCAGCTACGATGAAGTTGTTCCATCGAGACAAGATCGCCTCCCACTTAGATGTGATTGTGGATTGTGTGGACAAACTATTGATCAAATGGCGTGACGCTGGGACTCATTACTTGCATCTTGACATGGTTCAACAATGTCAAAATCTTCTACTCGACATCATGGGGTTAATCGAATTTGACTACGATATGGAGACAATTGATGGCGATAACGGTACATGTACACGAAATAATGAGCTCTCTCAGGCGTTAAGAGACTTCTTAAGCGCATACACTATAATTATCTTTTCACCAAGGTTTATTTCTACTATCTACTTGAAATTAAGTCATCGATATCGGCAGGCAATGGCAACAATTGAGCGATATCTCTATCGAATGATCGAACAAGAATTGGCTGAAAGTGAAGAATCGATAGCACAACGAAAGAGAACATGTTTGATTGCTGCACTTGTTGCCTCACTACAAAATAACGGAAAAGTAGAAGCGGCTAAAAATGAAGAAGAACAAACCGGTAAATTCTCACGAACAAAAAGAAGTACCTTTTCCTAATAACTCGTTCTCCTCTATACTTTATCATTATATCCTCATCTACTTATCCATGGATAGAGCATAAGTTAGGCTACTCGTATATATAAGAAGCTCGTTTTACTGGTTTATTGCTTCAGATTTCTTCGACATATACAAAAATGTATGATTTTCGTGATACTCTGCTTCAGACAAAAAACACTTTTTTCGATTCATTTTTTCATCACCTAATACGCTCTGTTAGAAAAAAATAAATACAGCATAAGATGCAGCGTGAAAAACTCCACGATTTACATATAACAGCTTCTACAAATTTCTGAGCCATTAATTTTTGACACTTCGAGAAAAATAATTTTTTGGTACACGACGAATTCCTTGTCTTATGCCATCAATTGATGTATTATGCTTTTTAACTGTATACCACTGTTCGACCATTGGATATGACTTTCGATACAATTCATTAACCAAAACAATAAGAAAAGAAATTGATCGTGTACCAAAAAATGATCTTGTTCGCAGCGCCAAAAATTAGTTGCACAGAATTTTGTTCATTTCGAGAAAAAAAGTGCAACTATGGAATAAGCTGTTATTTGTAAATCGTGAAGTTTTTCACGCTGCATCTTGTGCTGTATTTGTCTTTTTTTTACTATAGCGTATTAGGGGATGAAAAGATGAATCGGGAAAAGGTACACTTTTTGTCCGAGGGAGACTTATGGATGAAATATTCTGATGAGTAAATCTACTTCTTCATTTTAGTCATTTTAAATAATGAATTTCATGATTAAACCAGCATATGAGCTGGAAGAGTCACCATGACCATTTGTTTTGATTCACAAAGCAATATTATATTACCTGTCTTTGTCGATAGGTCTGTCACGGCGCGAAGTATTGAGTGAGATGCTCGCATTTTTGACAGCTGGCTTTGAAACGAGCGCGAGTTCCATAGCCTGGTTCATTCATCTCATGAGCAAATATCCAGAAGTGCAGAAGAAGATCAAGAAAGAATTGATGGCCGATGATGATGGTCAGACATTATCAATGGATCGTCTCGACTCTCTCGTTTATCTGGATTGTGTTGCCAAAGAAGTACTTCGATTTTGTCCACCAGCGGTTGGAACATTTCGTACATTGACCGTTGACGATCGTTTACCCGGGAGTGGTTCACAACTGTTCAAAGGCGATCAGGTATTTGTTCCATTTTATACTCTAACACGAGACACTCAACACTGGTCAATCGATCCAGAGCTGTTCTATCCTGAGAGGTTTTTACGTGAGGACAAACACCATCATCCATATGCATTGATTCCATTTGGTGGTGGTCATCGACAGTGTCTCGGTCGAGATTTGGCTCGATTTATTCTCAAGGTGATTGCAGCACAACTGATGCTAAATGTGACATTTTTTGACGGTGGACCTCAAGTGAATGCAGGTGGACAGTGGTCAAGAGCGACGACCGTACCTCGGCACTTTGGCGTCACTATAGAGTTTGATCGATAAACACAAATGTAACTTCTTCTTGTGCGATAGCGTGCCCATTTATTTTGCACAAATAAACTATTTTTTGTCTTCTATCTAAACCCGCTCGATTCTATGCTTTTCGTAACGATATCTGAGAAATGTTTACTTGTAAATATTTAATAAAGTTGTTTTAAAATTATTCTTATTGATTCTTGCAAATTTGGGTGTGGATATCAGTGTCGATGTTAATCCGAAACGAGGGAAGATACACTCACATCCAATTTTCACACTCGCAACAGACCTTAAGGCACTATTATATATCTCGACCAACTCACAAACACTAATATTGCTTAGTTCTCAAAGCCATAACTTGATCTGTTCACGCTTTTTATGTTGATCATATGACCACTGTGGCAAATCAATGCATCACTACGAATCATTACGTGTGGCTAGATGCGGTTGCTAGAATTGAAATCTTCACTTAACCCACACCCACTCTCTAAGGAATTTAAAGGTGAATGAACTACAACAAATAACGATCTTAAGATAAGTTTATTATTTAATCTTATTTAGAATTATTTTCTTTCTCCTTGGTAACCGAATTATTTGTAATTGCAAGAGTTTATCGTGTAGTCCTATTTAGGTATGTATTCATATTTCTTGATTCTCTTTTTTATTAAAAATTTTTATTAATATTTATAAACATATAGAAACTGACTTGCATTGATATTGACTATACCCATGGAATTATTCGTAGTAGTTGTGAACAAAAGGTGATAAGAGAGACAATAAAACAATTAGCAAATAACTATTGAGCAAATGAAAAGATTTCTATTCGTCAAGTTGAAATAATACAGCTTATAAAATAATAGTATTGAATAGTAATCACGTCTATGAATTGTTATTTAACAGATGATCTTCAATAAATACGAATAATTGAAAGATAACCAATTAAATGTTGTATGCATGTGTCCTTATTTGATACACTTTCTTTTATTTAATCTGATTTTGCTTGTTGTTGTTGATTTTCATATGAACTTATCTCGATAGATATGATCATATACGCACACAATCGATAGAGAAGATAGCAAAAGGATATTGATAAATTAAGATAATTCTTGGTAAAAATTTCTATCCATGAATGGATATGATGTTTTAAAGAAAGTATCTCTTATTATGCATAACATACTCAAAATTAATTGATTACAACATATTCTCGTAAGTAAAAGAAGACAATCATTTGTTTTGATTATGTTGCAAAATAAGTACATTATTTTTATCGCAATAAGTGTTTAAGACATTTAAATGGAGAAAATCATCTCTCACAAGATAAGAGATATGCAAACTTTCATACAATATCTTATATACAATGAAAGTCTGTCAGAGATTATTAACTAGTTTATTGTGAGTTAATTTATTATATAGAAAATAATCTAATCTTTCCAAAAAACAATGTACAGATGATCAATTAGTTTTTATTATTATTAACCTTTTAAGTACCATGATTCTGCCTGTGAGAGAAAGGACGGGGGCGTATAAGGGTCGATTTTGGGCTATCTTCAGTTTCCTTCCATTCATGATTTATCTAATGCAGAATTTTGTGAGAAATCTTTTGGTACCAAAATAATCACATTTGGGA